AACTGTATTTACCAATCCCAATACTAACACTTACTAGCTGAGTGACCATAGGAATCTTACCTAGTTTCTCTGAATCCTACTTTTCATGTCTTTAAAATGGGGCTAATACTTTTACCTACCTCACTGGGCTTCTGTGGCAAAGGAATGAAACAAGGTATGCGAAGTGCTAGGCAACGACCTAGTCCACATTTATTCAGCACACACATCTAGTACTTTCTATGTGTCAAGCTCTGCTCTACATGTTTCACAGATTACCTCATTTACCCCTATGACATAGATCCTGTTATTACCCATTTTTAAGAAGGGAGAAACTAAAATACATGCAGAGAGGATAGTGACTTGTCCATGGTCACAAATCACATAAGCAGCAGGCCAAGACTTGAATGGAGCCATCTAGCTCTAGGGTCCTTAGTCTCCCCCACTCTACTGGGTTGCTCTTCAGTACACAGTATAGGTGTGATATGAACATGCACATATAATTTCCTTAGTATCTGCAAGTAGCAGTGTAAGCTGAGGGTTTTGGTTTGTGCGAAGACCTGTTCACCTACCCAGAGGTTTGCAAACTATGACTATGGTCCAAACCCAGCCACTCCCACTCACTGTGTATTACCTATGGCTGCTTTCACGCTATAGTGGCAGAATCGAATAGTCGTGACAGAGATTGAATGACCTGCAAAGCTGAAAGTATTTATTATCTGGCTCTTTTCAGAAAGAGGTTTGCCAAGCCCTGTCCTAGACCTTACCTGCAAAAACCCTTCATCCTTACAATTTCAAACATTTTTGAACCTTTATCCTGATTAATTCCTTCATTTAACAACTGTTTATTGAGGACCTAATATATGGCAAGCATTATTCTAGACCCTGGAGCTGCTTGGTGAATAAGAGAGACGTGGTCTTTGCCCTCAGAGAATTTATGTTCTGGTTGAGGAAAATAAAATAAATAGTATGCAGAACCCAAAAACAATTGTAGATTGAAGTGATTGCGAAGAAATAAATAAACAGGATATAACAAGTAACTGAGATTAGAGAGTGGATTTCTTACAAATAGAAGCCATTTGAATTGGGAACTCTATTACTATAGCTAAAAGCATTCTGATAAGAAGGTTTGTAAAGAGGAGAAAGCATGAAATTGTCATGTCTGAGAGAGGAATAGAAAACTTCCTAGGACGCATGGAAGGATGGCTGCTCAGTGCAGAGTGCTTGCCTCAGGATGTGATAGTGTATTGAAAGTGAAGCTGCTCAGCCTGATGGTATGATTTTTTTTTCTTCTGCAATGTGAAGCAACTTAGATACAGACATGAGGAAAGCAGAGTGAGTTCAACAAAAGTTGAGGTTTTAGAGGCTAGCAACACTTGGAAATAAGGTGAGAGGTGAATGGACAAATTTAGCCTGGAGACAGATATAGCTTGGTTTGCTCATTGTATTAAAACTATACATTTGAATGCCTTTAGATGGAGCGCATTCCATTTGGTTCACCGCATCTCTACCCATTCTTGCTGTGTTCTGTTTTGCCTGTTTCACTCATTCATGCTTCCTGCCTGACCCTGTATGCTTCTGAGATTGCAAGCTCTGAATTCTAGTAAAAGACGACAGACTCTTTCTTGCATGAGGAGAGAATAGGAAGTCACAGAGGTAAAGGATTGTGACAGAGTGGTGGAATCAATGAACTGGAGACTAAAGTCTTGATGAGTTCAGATGAGAACTAAGAAGTAAGAACTGGGAATACAGAAAGTCTTATAAGAATGGAATATTAGAAATTAAGAATTGGACAGTAGCAGGCTTGTTAGAGTAAGGCAGTTAGTTAGACATAAGCAGGAGAAAAGGGCCAGCCCATCACCAAGGAAGACTTCCCTGGTCAACCCCTAAGCCCTCCTTAGTTCCCAGTTCTACAGTCAAGGACGTCTAGTTTATCAGGATACCCAAGACCACAGGGGTTTCCCTGATTACGAGGCATCCTCAGGTCTGAAGACCTTGTCCAAAAGTAGACCCAACTCATTAAAAAATAACACCTAAATCTAATTAGCATTGTGGTTTGGGCCTCCTGTGGGCTTTGCTTAGTACTCATGGGTAGGGTACCTGCACACTGAAAGGTTATATAACCTAGAGCTGTCAATCAACCTATCAATCAAATGACATAAGATGTAGGGCAGGACTTCCTGTCATCTTAAGAAAAAATAAAAGCCAGCCTAACCCTAATGGTGGGACTGCTTCTGGTTTCCAGACAGCACTGCTCTTCACCCTTATGGAGAGTATACTTATGCTTTGCTTAATAAACTTCTGTTTAAAATTCTCCTAAATCTGTCTCTTGACTGAATTCTTTCCTTTGAATTGGGGAAACACAACACATTCCACTGCTAACAGATTGATGTTTACAAGTTAAAGGGCATAACACGGGGAGTGGGTAGCCAAAGTAGGGAGAAGCAAAATGTTACACACACACAAAACATGGATAAACATGCATATGCACATGTATATAAATTCATAAACACACGTTTTGAAGTGATTTTAAGAGGCTACACGGCATTCAAATTTAAGAATATATGTGCACATAATGAAGATGTACTTTTAAAATGGCTTTTCTAGGCATATGATGGAGAGAGTCATTAGGAAATAGCCCAAATGCAGTCAGCCAAAGGCAAGCCTAGGTTTTTTCTGGCAAAAAAACCGTTTTTGTTTTTTAATAATTGAATTATTAAAAACATACCTAAGGCCTCCAGGGAGCCAAGACAAGGGCTGCTGCTTAGGCCTGTGTCTCCCTATGTACATATGTAAATCCTCTTCTTTTCACCTTCTCTCCTCCTCTTCTTCCTCCACCTTCTCTCTGTGTCTCTGTCTCTATTTTTTATTCCAAAACCACACCCTCAGCATAAATGGAAGAGAGAGAATGCCCAAACTTCAAAGCAATTGCAATTTTAAAAGGAAGACATGAAATGCTAATGAACAGTCTTTCACATGTCCACCACAAGCCTTGACGTCAGCAGAGTCTAAAAACACTGATAGCCAGAGCTGTCAGCTGGCTCAATATTGCTCTAGAAGTTCCACCAAAATGGGAAGCCCACTCTAAATGTGAAAACATTGAGAATGTTTCCTGGTAGAGGAGAGCCCTGACCAGAGGAGAGGAGTTTAAAATATGCGTAGTTCAAAGAGGCCGACTTTGAAAGGTGTAGCTTCTGGAGGACATCCAGGCAAAAAGGAAGGAAAAGTTCTCTTTGGCAGTTGGGGGGTCAAAAGGAATAGAAACAAAAAGAGAAAACTTATGATCCTGAAAGACAAAACTAAAACCAAAAGTCAGTGTGCATACAAAGAAAACCTCTTAAATAAACATCCACAAAAGAAATGGGGCTTTACTAAGAAAAGAGCATGACACTGAACTAAGAATCTTGCAGATAATCCCAAGTCTAGAAGATGAACAGAAGAAAAAACACCCAAGTCTATAGGGATTTAGTACAAAAATTATAAAACAAAAATTCTTCACCTCAGGTCATGAAACTGCCCATACCTACCAGAAAATAAGGAGTTACACAACAGAAAAATTCTAAGCAATGCTCCATATTATTTAAATAGCTTTATGTAAGCATTTGGGAATGCAAAAAAGTGCACTAATCAGAAATTCAATAACTAAGTACAGAATGAACAAAAACAAGAAGAAATAAAAAGGTTGGTTGAATTCAGAAAAGAAGTGGAAGAAAAATATCATCTTAGAAATGAACACTAAATCACAAGATGTCTAAAGGAATGGCAGCAAGTGAAAATTAATAAGGAACACTGGAAATATTCAGAAACCAACCAAGAAAACAAAAATGATGTAAGAAACAAAGTAAAAAAGCAGAGGCAAGTGGTAGAAATGAAAGCTAGAAAAAGAAGGAACACTGTATATACAAGTGGGGTCTGAGAAGGCAAAAACAAAAACAAGGTAATATAAATAATATTTAAAATTATAATCCAAGATCACTTTCAGAAAAAAATAAAAAACCCTGAATCCACCTATGAAAGTTCACATTAAGTACCTGAGAAAATGAACCTGGAAACTTCAATTCCAAAATACATCCCAGCAAACTAATAGACTTCAGAGGCAAGAAAAAATCTCATCTCCTGGCATAAAAGTTGAAACAATTTATGATAGTAAAATAATTAGAATGGCATCATGCCTCTCAAATATAACATAAAAAGCAGGCAAATTAGAGCAGTATTTCCAAAGAATTCAGTAAAATAGAGTGTGAACCAAGAATTTTATATCCAGTCAAACTATCTATGAAGTATCAAAGTTACATAAAATGTTTTAAATATACTACTATATAGCACTACTAAATATATTTTATATGCTGCAAACACTTTCTCTATTTATAAGAAAAGGTGTCTTGCCAATAGGTTTTAGCCCTGGGAAAGTTTACTCTTGATTCAGTGAGACCAAACAGTGACAGAGGAACATTCTTGGGGTGAAAGGGTTTATATCCAACCTTATTCCTGGGTGGCAGGTTGTCTTGCCAATGGGTTTCAACCCCGGGATTCAATGTGACCAAGGAAATTGAGAGCAAAACATTCTTGGGGTGAAAGGGTTATACCCAGCTTTATTTCCAGGTGGCAAGTCAGTCACTAGAATCCCATTCACTCAGAACAAGTCTGCATACAGCAAACCAGTCTCTGCCTCTGGGCCCCTCTGTACAGCTGTCCTCCGGGCCTCTCTGCACAGTCATCCTGCACAGCTGTTCCGCACAGCTGTCCCCTGGGCCTCTGTCCTCGGTGCTGCCACCACTCCAGCCTTTGCTCTGCTCTCCTGCAACCTTACAGCTCTGCCACTGTGTCATGCCCGGGTGGAGCTCTTTATATAGAGTCAATAGCCATGTATTGCCCGCAGGTGAGCAGTGAGCTAGTCAACCAGGGCCAGGTGAGAATCCTGGCCACAGGAACTCTCATTTTATCCTCACAGGTCAAGCGCTAGAATTCCATCCACTTCAGAGCAAGTCTGCATGCAGCAAGCTGGTCTCTGCCTCTGTGCCTCTCTGCCCCCGCAGCCATCTCAGTCTCTGTCCTGGGCACTGCAAGCACTCCAGCCTCTGCTCTTCTGCAGCCCAGAGCACTGGGCAGAGCTCTTTATATAGAGTCAATAATGATGTATTGCCCACACGTGTGTAGGGAGCAAGATGACGAGCATCATGTGAGAATCCTGGCCATAGGAACCTTTATTTCTCTACAAGAGGAAACTGACATTTCAAAACTAACTACTCTCCACCAGGACACTCTGTCTTCTGGAATCATGGAGATCTCTCACCTAAGTGAGGTAAAACTGCTTGTCCCATTACTTCTCCAAGGAAGCGTTAAGGTACCTCCCTTGTAACCACCTCAAGGGTAAATATTTTTAAACCCACCACAGCACCTAAGATTGTCCTGAGCATTAAGTACTCAATAAACACTTCCAAATTAACTTCAGCATGAATTTCATGTCTCAATTTCATCATCTATTTAATATTGTTTAGTGGCTATACTTTTTAAATCAGCTACTACAAACTAAAAGGTTTCCAAACTTTAAATAAGTTCACTTAATCCTCAGACCAATCCGGAAAAGTAGATGATGATATCTCCTTTTGTAGATACAGAAATAAAAATAGTTGAAGTATCTTCTCCAGAGTCATTTGGCTAATACAAATGGGAGGCTGTTATTTGTAACCAGGTATAACAGAAAAGTGATGCTCAGTCTTCATGCATTGTTACTGGCCACCCATGGGGAAATAAAATTTGAGAGCCCTTCTAAGTACTTCAAGTCTGTCCTGTAATTAGAAGCCATGTGTACTATTAATCCAACCATTCAAATAACCCAGTTTTCAAAGGGAATTTTGGGTCTGGGTAACAAGATATAAAGCTTGACATTTTGCCTGATGCAGCAGGATACCTGTATTAGACCCCTGTTACTACAGTAATAACTTGCCATAAACGTTGTGGTTTAATACCACACAATTTGTTGCCTTACAGTTCTGGGGATCAGAAATCCATAATTAGTTTCACTGGGTTAAAAGCCAAGGTGTGGGCAGGGCTGATTCCTTTCAGAGGCCCCAGAGGAGATTGTTTCCTTGCCTTTCTCAGTTTATAGAGCTCACCTGCATTCCTTGGCTCATGGCCCCGTCTACATGCCACTCCAACCTTTTGTTTCTGTCATCATATCTCCTACTATTGATTCTGACCCTCCTGCCTTCCGTTATAAGGGCTCCAGTGCTTATATTGGGCCCACCTGGATAATCCAGGGTGATCTCTTGATCTCATGATCCTTAACCACATTGGTAAAGTCTCCTTTATTACATAAGATAAAAGATTTTAAAATTCTAGGGACAGGGACATATTTCCAGGACCATTATTCAGCCTACCACAATATGACAGAAATAAAACTTCAGAGCAAATTGACACACCAAAATGCAGACTTTCAGAGCATGACTCCTGAAACCCTTCAACCACTTTGAGAGCAAAAAAATGTCAAAAGTAGAATATCAGATGAGGATTTCTTTAGTGAAGCTGGACTATGAGTCCTTCCCAAGGGAAAGGAGAGGAAATACCTACATCCTCACCTTTTGTTTTTTGGGAAACCACTCAGGCATGGGATACGTCCCCTGGGGTTTGACCACTCTTGGACTCATGTCGGAGGAACCCCAGAGCCACAGGCCTCAGCTGCTGGCCTAAGCAGCAGACCTGAGGGGCAGTGGAAGTCTGCATTTGAAAAAATGCAGCGCACCCACCAAAACAGAGCACTGAGTGTTTCCTATGGAACATAGGCAGGCATAAAAGAGAAAAACAGCCTGGGGCTACATAAAAATTCTACCTTTAAGTCACCCCTAGAGGGGTAATAGGATTTTAACAGAGAGGTCTGTGAGGAGTGATTCTCCAGTAAACTAAGGCTGGAGAAAGGCTCTGACAAAGGTGTACACATCTCATATCAGAGAATTATAGTCAGAGGAGCCAAAAAAAGACCCACAAGAGAAATGATCACTTTAAATTCTACTTTACCTGTGCTGTGAGGGGAGAGGAACTTTCTTCAGAAGAAGTTAGTATCAGCTTGCATATCTGCATTTGTTGCTATATATTTATAACATAAGTAAATTGCTAGAACCAATGAGCATATAAAAAGGTGTTTGATATCATCAGTCATCAGAGAGATGCAAAATAAACTATTATGAGACACTACTATATACCTATGAGAACAATTAAAATTAAAAGAAATGATAATATCAGGTGTTGGAGAGGATATAGAAAAACTGGAATACTTATGTCTGGAGATTCCTTGAAGGTTTGTGACTGAGCATTGGGCTGTACTTGCACAGGATGAGATTATTTGAAAATGTCCAAAAGGCAGGTCCTACAGAGATGAGAACAAAATATTTGGCAAATTATTTGTAAATATCTTCTAAAGCTGAAGATCCATGTACATTACAACCCCAATAATTCTACTCTTTGACATACACCCAAGAAAAACGAGAGCTGATTTGTATCAAAAGTCACATGCAAGAATAATCATAGCAACTGTATTTAAATACCCCCAGGTGGAAGCCACCTCTGTTTTCTTCAAGAATAGAATAGTAAATAATATGTGGTACATTCAGACTATAGAAAAATACACACAATGGGAAAAACACATACTGCTAATACATAGGACAACAAGGATGAATCTGAAGACATCATAAAGTGAAGGATGTTAGACGCAAAAATGTACATGAAATGTTACTTCATTTATATGAAGTTTAAAAACTGACCTATAGAGACAGAAAATCAGAATAATGGTCACCTCTTGGGGACAAATGACTGAGAGGAAGCATAAACAAGCTCTCCAGGATTCTGAAATATTCTGTATCTTGATCTAGGTAGTTGCTACATAGTCATGATACATATGTAATAAGTCATCAAATATAAACTTAAGATTTTCCAATTTTTTTCTATCTGTTATACCTCAATTTAAAAAACTACTATCACACTAAAAGACAGCACTCTGGAACAAAAAATTACAGAAAATAGAAACAAACCCATTATAAGTTGGCTGACAAAGGCTTTAAAATAAATATGATTGCTTTGCTCAAGACAGGAGAGAGGAAGACGGACACAATAAATTAAAAGATGGACAATTTTCTGAGAGAACCAGAATTTATAAACATTTCAAATAAAATTTCTAGAATTAAAAAAAATACAATTTTAGCTTTTAGCTATGATGGAGAAGCTAGTAGTGAATAAGCCTTCCCATTAATAACAGGTATAAAAAACACGAAAGTTTATAAAGCATTGGACAACAGGGAGCACAGGACTACAACGGAAAAAAAAAACATATGTGCTTAACAGCAAATTGGAGATAACAGAAGGAAGAGGCAAAGCAGATAGATGGATAGGAACTATCCAAAGTTAAGAAACAGAGGGACAAAAGTTGAGGAGAAGTGATAGTGCATCTGGGCCCTTTTGAGCAATATTAAACAGCCTCAAATATGTGTAACAGGAGTTTCAAAAGGGGGAAAGAGTGAAGATGAGGCAAAAAATATTCTGATGGAATAACAGCTACTATTTCCCACATTTGATTTTAAAAACTTCTATTTTTATGAGATTCAAGAAATACAGACAACCTCAAGCAGGATAAATATACATACCACACACACACACACCACACTAAGCACATATAGTAAAATTTCAAGGCAAAGTTGGAAAGCACAAAAAGGAAAACATACTTTATAGTTTTACATATAGTGAAATAATAACGTAAATTAATATTGACTTCTTAGAAAAAATGAAGACCAAAAAACAATAGAATGTCATCTTTAAAGTGCTGAAATCAACAAGTGTATATCCAGTGAAAATATCCTTTAAGGGCACGGGGAGGGCTGTGCAACACAGAGAAGACAAGTAGTGATTTTACAGCATCTTACTACGCAGATGGACAGTGACTGAAGGGGTATGTGGGGGGGACTTGGTGAAGGGGGGAGCCTAGTAAACATAATGTTCTTCATGTAATTGTAGATTAATGACACCAAAATTAAAAATTAAAAAAAAAAGTGAGGGTAAAATTTTTGGACAAACAAAACCTGAAAAATTTGTTCACAGCAGACCTGCACTCTGAATGCTAATGGATGTTCTTCAGTCTAAAATAAAATGATACCACCTTGAAATTCAAGTCTACAGGAATCTAAAACATAGTAGTGCAAGATGTGTATCTATCACAATGCTCTGCAAAAGCAAAAAACTGGCAACATGCTAAGTGACGAAGCAAAAGGGTCATTTAATTTCATTCGGAACCTATTCAAGTAAAACTATAAAGACATTTAAAATGAGATTAAAGATCTAAATGACATAAGAAAATGTTCATGATACCTTATACTTTTTATCTCCTTTATTTGATAATTTCTGAGCAAGCTGTGTGAAATCTTCCACTATGATTGTTTGCATATGTATATGTTGTCATAGTTGGATGCACATGAGTTCATGATTTTTATATAATCTTGATTAATTGCTGCTTCTATCTGTAGTCATTATTTTTGTAATCATCTTTTATATTAACTTACATCCTATTGATATTGTCAAATACATACTAGTTTTCTTTTGGTGATATTTTCCTGATTACTCTTTTTCCCCAAATAGTTGTATTTAAATCCACTGCATCATTTTTATGGCATTCGCTTATAATTAAGTGTTCTTTTGTTATTCAAATAGTCACTCTTAAAATAAGTACATTTAGTTTATCTGTACTTACCTTGACTCCTGAGGTATGTATCTCTGTTTACCATCTTGCCTTGCCATTTTTTTCCATCTCTTTTTCTTGCATCTTATTTACACTGTTCCCTATTTTCTGTTTATCCTTCTTTCCTCAATGAAAATTATAAATTTAAATATTATAATCATGCATTTTAGAATGGAAATACAATTTTAAATTATTTTTATATCTATCTCCTGAATATGGAAGCAAATTATCATGCTTTAACTATCCATAACAGATTCATCTACCCACCTCCTGTCACTCAGTTTGATATAATAGAACTCTTAAACACAAAAAGAAAAATTCAACACCCTTAAAATGTATCTATATGATGCAGACTAACTATCCTAACCTCAGTAAAATAATAGACAAACATAAGTTTGGAAATGAACATTCCTGACTTCAACATTTGAATCAGAGAAGAAACCACAAAGAAATGTATGACTTATTCAGAATCTCAGGAGGAATATTGCAAAGAAAGGCTTGTGAGATGAAGTTAAAGTATTACTCAGAGGTAAACTTATATCCTTATATAAAGATATTTTAAAACAAAAAGACATGGAAAATAAAAGAGGTAGTCCTGCAACTATCTGAGAAAGACAAAACAAATTTTGAGCTTACATCAAAGTAAGTGAAATGAATAAAAGGAAGTTAGAAGCAGAAAATAAAAAACAAAGAAGTAATAGTAAACACAAAAGACTGACATGCTTTTTTTAAAAACAAGTGTGAATACATGTTTATATAGAAAATCAGTTCATGTGAAACTATCATAAGATTATATATCAATGATACTTTAATAGAAAAAAAAGAAAATCAGTACATGTGATGTATATGGTTAACTTATTTACTTATATATCTTATTTGCTTATAAAAACTATACAAGCACAGATCTTTATAAAGAAAATGCTATGTATTCTGTCATATTACCATTGAAATATTACATTTAGGTATTAAATATATAATATATAATGCCATATACTTATTAAATGAAATCAATACATGTATCAAGAAATCTCAATTTTAATGTATATTAAGCCAGGCAAGGATAATTCCATATTAGGACATTTCTCTGTAAATCATGAGAGTAAAAGAGTGGAGAAGGTGATATGGTCATTTTAATAAACACAGAAACGGAATTTAATAAAATTTAACACTCATTCAGGATTTTAAAAAGGGGAAAGTTATTACAAAATGCAAAATGAAGGAATCCTTCCTTAATTTGATAACATATTATTTATCAAAAATATTCTGAAAACAACTTACTTAGTGATGAAATTTTAGAAACCTTTCAAGTTAGAAGCAAATTTAGGATTCCTGCTATCACTGCTTCTCTTTCACATTTTATTGGCTTCCTAATCAACACAATAAGAGAAGAAAAAGAAACAAAATATAAGTGTTGGGAAGAAGGGGAAAACTGTTATGAGAATATTATTTTATGGATTAAAGAATTTAAGAAGACCTACAAAGTATTGGAAATTGTAAGATTGTCATATAGAAGATCAATTTTAAAAATTAGCAGTATTTCTACATGCTGGCAATAACCAATTCAAAAATACACTTTAAAAAATATACAACTTAAAAAAATACAATAAAAAAAAACATTCCCAACAGCAACAAATGTTTAGGACATGATGGATAAAAGAAATATAAATTTTATTAATGGACATGAAAATACCTAAATAAATGGAGAGATATACTGGGTTTATTTATGAGAAGTTTCAATACAGGCAATTTTTCATTTTCTCTAAATTAATGAACAAATTGCATGCAATTTCAATTAAAATGTGTGGGGTGAAACAACTTCTATTACTGCTGGAAAGCACGTCGCAAATAAAATGATCAAGGATGCTTGCTGTAAGCCTGCTTTCAAATCCCAAGGCAGACCCCGGTCCACAAACACTGCCTTGGATGGAAGCACTGAGTTTTCAGGGGGCATGATAACATTTTCAATTATAAAGGAACTGCAGTGAAACAAGATTTTAATATTTTTCAGATTTGGCATTACCGACGATCTCACTCTTCCTCAGTCATTGGGTTACTGAGAGTTACTTTGATGAAATGCTGATAGCCCTTTGACTTCTGTTAAGTTTCTGTATTTTGCATAAACAAATCGGGAGCTTACAGCACCTGTGCATGGTCTCCCTTCCTCCCTCAGCCTGTCACCCCATCTGAAATAATGCAAAATTGCAACAGGGATCTTTCATGGATCTTAACAAGGTGGTTCTAAAATTCATATGAGAAGATAAAAAGTATAACAAAAATAAGCCAATTTTGAAAATAAAATGAGGGGGAATGTGCCCGTAGAGTAATAAGTCTTATTAAAATGATAACTGTGAAGACACTGTAGCATTTGTGCACAGACAGAAAAATTAACCATTGGTCAGAATAGCCCAGTAGTAGAACCACAAATAAACATAGGAAGTTGGTGTGTGGCAGGTACACCAATACAGAACAGTGGGGAAAGGACTGACTACCAAGTATATGAGGTTGAGGTAACTGGTTAGTTACATGGAAACAAATAGAATCAGGTCCTTACCTCACACTTTATATTTTTTCCCCAGAAGATTAAAGGTATGAAAATGAAAACTTCAAAAATTTTAGGTAAAAGTATAGAAAAATATTTTTACAAGATTGTAAAAGGATTTTCTAAATAAGACACATAAAGCACAGATCATAAAGAAAAAGATTGATACATTTTACTACATTAGTATCTTATGTTTAACCTTCCTCTTTAAAAAAGTGAAAAGACAAACCACAAACAGGAAGAAGATACTTGTAACATATATAATTGACAATATTACCGCATTCAGAATATACAGTGTACTCCTACATGCCAGTAAGAAAAAGCTACTCAACCTGATTGAGGTGACAATGGCAATTTAAAGAGGATGAAACAGGGTGACCAATTCCTATAAAAAGATAGGCAACTTTACAAATAATTAGGAAAATGCAAAATTAGAATTGAGATATTTCACAATCATCAGAATTGGAAGTTTGACGAAATGAAGTGTTGGCAAGAAACAAAGAAATAAATGACTCACGTACACTGCTAATGGGGACCAAATTAGGTTAATAACTTTGAAAAGTATTTTGGCAGTTCACTTGTAAGTGTACTCACCAATAAACTCTCACATATGTGTGCAAGCCAGACGTGTTCAAGAATACCTATTGAAGCATTGTTTGTAATAACAAATTAAACATGTCCTAAAATCCATCAGTAAATAAGAATAAATCTGGTGTAACTCCACAGTGGGACATTATACAGCAGATGAAATGAATCAACCACAACCAAATGTGTCAGTATGGATAAATTGTGAAAGTGCTTAGTTAAAAGACCGTTTGCAGACTTATCTATACAATGGGATGCCATTAATGTAAAATGTTACAACACATAAAATATATGCATTAAAATTTCAAAAATATACATGGGACAGATACACAAAACATTCTGATAATGTTATCTGTAGGTTGGGAAGGAGAGAGACTAGGATTTGGGTGGGGTACCAAGGGAGTTTCAATTGTGACGAGAATGTCTTATTTCCTTAAAAAAGATTTAAAGTAAAAACAGCTAAAAGGTGAAATTTATTAAATATTTATAGTAGGTACATAAATGTTCATTATATTATCCTTTCCACTTTTTGGAATTCTTTCTAAATTTTCATAATAAGAAATATGAAAAGCAAAAGTAAACTGTAAAACTTTATACTCTGATCTGCTTTCATTTAAAATTTTAAGAAGTGACAGTGTATATGCACATGTGTTATTAGTTTGCTAGGACTACCATAGCAGATACCACAGTCTGAGTAACTTAAACAACAGAAATTAATTTTCATACATCCCTGGAAACTACATGTCCAAGATCAAGGTGCTGGCAGACATTTTTCTTCTGAGGCCATCTTCTCCCTGTATTTTCATGCAGCCTTTTCTCTGTGTGTGTCTATGTCCTAATCTCCTTGTCCTGTAAGGAAACCAGTTGTACTGGGTTGGTACCCAGCCTAAGACCTTGTTTAACCTTAATTACCTTGGTAAAGGCCCTATCTCCAAATACAGTCACATTCTCAGGTACTGGGGATTAGGGCTTCAACACAGGGGTTTGAGTGGGACACAGTTCAGCCCTTAACTCTGTGTGTGTGCAGACAATCCTTTCCCTTCTTCTCATCTCTCCAGTTCAGAATTCCAGCCCTGACGCGATTCATCAGCTCAAGCTTGTCTAGTTTCTTTCTCCTGTGAAGCCAGGTCATATACATTCTTCTGAGCAACCCATTTTTTCCCCACCCATGCTACCTCCAAACTCCTCAGTCCCATGAATGGATAGCTCTCAGGAATTTTAGGATCTTCTTTTCTTCCTTTGAAACATGAACTTGTAACCCCTCAGACAGGGTCCTCCCAAAACAACTCTACCATGCGTGGACTGTAGAGAGCTAATAGATGGCACTGCTGGTTTACTTTATATTGTTTGTATTACGTGGGTCTTCTTGCAAGATTTTTTTTTATGGTCAGTGTTCATGCCTAACAAAAGCAAATACATGATAATAGCATGTAAGAAGTAAGACTCTAAACTTTATAAACATGAAGAAGTTCATTTTTTTAAAAAGTCAAATTAAAAATTATCCTATCACAACACTGTAAACAAGAAATGCTCTTTGCATCTAGCTGCAAACTTTCTATTCTACTTCAACCCAGTGTCTTATTCATTCTGCACCCCTCCACACTGGAAATGAAAGCAAATTCATGTCAGTGACCTGAAGTGGCCCAAACTCATTTAGGATTGAGTGCATTATTCATGACAATGACATCTCTAAAAAATGGTTTAAAAACTGAGGTCGGCCTGTGGTGCCTATGTCTAAACTCAAATGTATAAAACAGAGGTGAGCCCATTTTTGGCAAGACTTACTATTGTACACATCTGGAGGGAAGTCAGGTCAAATGATGGTCCCTGACACTGAAGTGCTATGAAACAGATCAGCTCTGTGTACCACACTGGAGCAGTAAAAAAGAGTTCCAATCTTCAGGAGGAAATCAAGGGTGGGAAGATTTCGACTTGAAATTCCTGACCCCCAGCTATTGAAAATCCACTTCACCAGCAATTATTTTCAGAGTATAGATAGGGTACCAATCCCTGTCCTTCATACTTGGGGTGTCATTAATGACCTGAGAAAGATTGGAGGAAAATGTAATATGCATTCCTGCAACCACCCTCAGCTGTCTTCCAGGATTATTAAGTACCTAGCTCTGTAAACTCCTATTTGTTTCTTTAAAAATTGTTAAGGCAGAAATGCCAGCATGTCAATATCAGAGTAATATCCTAATCATATATTATTCCTTCCAAGAGGCTGGAGAAAGGCAATGTGCATCCTCCAGTGAGGCCAATACTAATCACAGAGCTAGTGCCAAGCCTATGGGGATTTCCCCGAGGACCTCATCATTTTATCAGATGTCACAGCTTCTTGGTCTCAACATGCTCTCCTGAGCAGATTCCTTCCCTCCACAGCCACCACCATTCTGGGGAAAGAGATTTCTATAAAATCTGCTCAGGATGGGGCTGTCCTGGTTCAGGGGTCCATGGTAGCAGTGAACTAAGAAAAGAGGGAGATATAGAGGCCCTCCCCTCCCTTTAGGACAGTGACTTGACTCCTACTAGCAGCTGGAGCAGTAATTGGGAGTTCATGATGATTGCTTGACTTGGGCACTTAAGCAAAATGACCTGGCTGCCAATAGCCACATGTCACTCCTCCTTACACAGCTTTTGGTCATCTTGATTCTCTGGATGCAGAGCTGTGATGGGCTTCGGAAACCTGAGCATGCTCACATACATGTGCACAGACACACAGACACGTATTTAGAAGGGAGTTTATTGATGCAGTTTGTCACTCTGCTTCTGCAATTCTGCTTAGCCAGATCAAGATACGTAACTCTTATAATCATGCAATGTGCAAGATTTTGCGCTACTGCCTGCCTCCTGCACATGGATTGTTTAGGAAGGGTGAGCCTGTCACTTCTCCATCATCTACAAAACAAAAAAAAGCCTCTCAGCTTTGCTCATTTTGGCCCTGCAAGTCTAGAGAAGTGCACTGATTTATCCACTTATGATAAGTACAATTAAGCATCATGATGGCAGAGCATGTCAGGTAGTGTCAGGATGCCAGCCAAGTGTTGAGAAGCCACTGCAGCATGTTGGTTGACCTGGCCTGAGGTCACCAGAAACCAAAGCTTTCTCTACCAACTGAGACCAAAGGCAGAAAGGATGATGGAGGATGGACGCCCCTATAGAACACAATATTGGCTGCAGGGGGAAAGAATCGTGGTCTCTGGGGNAAAAAAAAAAAAAAAAAATTTAATGTTCTCTGAAATGGCATTGAATTGACCTGGCCAGAGATTAAAATGTTCTTTCTATCCTTTATTCTCCCAGATGTCACTGCACTGTCTCAGCCCACACTTCTGAGAACCAAGATGGACGGCAAGGTGCTGTTAAATATCTTGCCAACCACAGACTTCTGTGAAGGTTGCAGGGACCGGAGAGGGCAATTGTTTTCTGAAGTACAGTTGTCACTCTCTGTTAATAGATGCCTCTGACCTTTCTCTGACAAAGGTTCTTTGCTGGATTCCATATTGAGCACCAGAATGATTTAAAATTTAAGCTCTGACAACAGGGAACAGTCCATTTGAGTGAGCAAAACACTGCGCTTTGTTTCTTTCAAAGCCTTTGCCTGTCATGGAAGCACTGAGGATGACAAGAAAGGGGGGCGAAAAATCACATGAGGGCCACTCAGGACATGCTGTGCTCGCTAACTAAAGAGCTTCACGCTCAAAACTACAATTCAAGTACTTCTAAAAATCAGCTAAAGCACCAAGTCTTCTTTTGCCTCAGGGATAAGTAACTAAAAATAATGAATAAATATTGGTTTATGCCTCTCTATCACTAGACCTAGCCTAACCTCCCGGTATAGACACCCCCCTCCATTAAAACTGATCTTTCAATTCATCCCCAGTTGATGTCTTGGTTCAATTCTTGTTTCATCTGCCTTCTACCAGCTTTCCCACTGCATTATGTGCACCGATAGCCCACTATTCCTTCAACTATTGGTACTAATCAAAAACTCTCCAGGAAAATTGTCCTCAGCTGTTATTAGGCTAGAATCTTCTGTTTCTGCATTAACTCATCGAGCTTGCCTTTTCTCTAGAAGCAATAAAAATTCAATAGCAAAATGCTGATTTAATATGGGGCCTTCCTAGTTGAAGACACTGTATGAGGTCCAAGGGGAGGCAAAGAAGGTTCAACCATGAGCTTTACCCTCTGGCACTTCTGGTCCTGTGGCACAGAGACAGCCAAGCTGGGGGCTGATAGAAGACACCACTGAGGCTAAGGAGACAGCTTCCGAACGAAAGCTGGAGAGCAGGACCAAAGACAAGAAAATCTTAATACTGAAATTCCTTCAATTTACAGATGCCCCAACTGAGGCCCAAAAGGTAAAATAATTTGCTACTATCAAAGGTCAGCAGATTCGGGAGGGTATAATACTAAATAGGAGCTAATAATAATGACAACAAACATTTCAGGAGCACTTGTTAAGAGTCAGGCCCCGTGTTAACAGATTTACATGCACTTACTCATGTCATCCTCACCACAACCCAAGAAGTTGGCCCTCTTGTTTTTCTCCATGTTTACCAATGCAGAAATTGAGAAATCAGATGACATTTCCAAGGTAACAGAGTTAGAGTAAGCCAGGCTGAGTACCCAGGCTGGGCCACCAGTCTGTCTACCCTTGGCCCTCTATTCTTGATCTAACTTCTTTCAAGAAAGAAAAATTATAACCAAAATGAAGTTAAAACTCCTTTTCTGTGTTCATGATTTCCTTGCTTTTTGTGAATCCTGACCCTGGTCTCTTCTGGTTCAGGCCTCCAGGTGTCATTTAAAGCATCAGCCACAGCCAGGATCTTTCACTAAAAGGCCTTGATTGTCTTACTTGTAAAATGAGAGAATTGAATTAGATAATCTCAGAGGTCCCCTCTGGTTCTTACAGTCTATGATTCTATGATTCCAAACAAAGATTGGCATCCTCAAAGACTGTAAATTTCAACTCTTTTCATAAACCCTAAAGAGGAAGGAGAGGAAAGAAGAATTGATTGCATGCTTGTGCAAATTTAAGTAATAGAGAACAGAGATGCTACCCTTGTGAATTCCTGGGTGATGTGCATGACTTGGAAAAAGAAGAAAAGTATTTCATGCAATACCATAGGGCACCCTTAGCTCAGCCTTTCTTCCTGAAATGAAAATACAACTGAGGTTTTCAAGTTACTTTGTTGATGTATTATCCTGTTCCCACTCATCATTCTCATATGATTCAACAAACATTACAGAGAAATTTTTCTGCTTAAATTCCTTCCTGCAACAGAAGTAAATATCTTACTTTTATAAAATACATTTCTTAAAGATAAAATACAGTTCTACAATACTGTTTCAGATAGATTTGCCATAAGTCAGATACCCTCGTTCAAATAATGGACTATGAACATAATCCATTTTGGGTAGTCAGGAAGTACAGAACTTGGTCTTATTAAGGTGCTCTGTTATGAGGCTCAGGCACTGATACAATGGATTGTTTTTCAACTGGGCTGTGGCTGCCACCATAAGTCTTTGGCTTGAATGAAAAGACAATTAAGAAAGGAAGTTGGAACAAGAAACTGAAACAAAATACTCTTCTTTCCCAGTGCTAACATAATTAAAATGGTGTTTAAATGCCAGTTGGCTAAAACTAAATAAAAATGTGCAATTAAGAACACAAGTGAGACTAACTATATCCCTCTCCTACTAGTGCCATTTGATTCTTTTCTTTCCTGCAGAAATTTCTTCTAAGGTATAGTAACCTTTGCATGTGGGCAAAGGTTGCATATCCCAATTCCCCATTTCATAACCCTTAGCTACTCTATAGCTGGTTGACTCTGAAGGGCATAATGTACTTCCTGCCACTTTGTATAGGGACCTTTAGCCTGGTGTGTTCAAAACCCATAGTACAACTTACTTTCTTATACAGCCATGGGGAGAAAGCTTTAGTCTTTCAGGAAGGGAAAAGATTATATTCCATCAAGGACTAGATTAGCAATCTATTGCTATCTAGTGGTAGTAGAGTACCACAAAATTTAGTGGTTTAAAGAGAATACAGAATCATTAACTCACAGTTTTGGGTGGTCAGGAATCTGGATGTGGCTTAGCTGGGCTGCTGACTTGAGGTTCTCTCACAAGGCTGCAGTCAAGATTTAATTGAAGTAGAACTGGCTTCCTATCTCAGTGGCTGTTGCCAGTCTTCATGCCTTTTGGACTGAGGGCCTCAGTTCCTTGCTGGCTGTTGACTGGAGGCCACCCTCAGTTCTTTGCCACATGGCTTCTCCAATGTGGTGGCTTGTTTCATCCACCAGTCTGACGGGGAGTCTGCTAGCAGGAAAAAGTCACAATCTTTTGTAATGTAATTATAGAATTGATATCACATCACCTTACCATATTCTATTGGTTAGAAGTAGGTCAGTTGTGTGCACATAAGGGGAGAAGATTACACAAGGGTGTGAATATCAGGATGTGGGGATCATGAGTATCCATTTTAGAAGTCATCTACCACAAGGACAAATGGGGTTCCAAGACTTGTTCAATCCCCATATGACAATTAGAGGCCAGGGTCTCAATTTTTACAGCAAAATCATAGTTCTAGGAAGAATATAATTTCCACTACCAACTACACATATGTGATCTACATACCTACTACTTAAAAATGGAATCTTTCCCTATACAGTAGTTAAAGTGATACTATTGTATTATTTATTTCAGAATTTATAATAGTAAATCTTACAGTTTAGTTGTTGTTGATACTACTCTGACCTAAGTATATAAAACTGTTCTGTATCTACCATTAAATCCCCATGGCAGCTTGGACAAGTCACTTTCCCACATTGGGACTAAATTACCTGAAAAGCAAGAAGATTGCGTTAGATGAGGACTAAGCTCCCTACAACTTTGCCATTATATGATTTTATTCTGGGCCCATTGAAAGAAGTGCTTATTAAAACCTCATTGAATTTCTTTTGGTTGGTATGGCCAGCTGACTGCACCCAGTGTCTATCTTTACGGTTCTGACCTAAGCAACAGAAACTGACTCTAACCACCTTAAGCTCCAGATAACAGTTTGAGGGAGGAGGGACTTTATTATATGAAAAATGGGGCAGAATAGCTTCCATAGGAAGGGAGGGGACGAGGTCCCTCCAGGGCTTGCAGCAGTGGGTCCCCCTCTCTGGGATCCCTCTATATTGACGTATGGCTCCAAATATCTTATATTCCTAGACATCTTCTATGAATAAACCAGTATTTAAATTCATAGAGATATTCTGATTAGCTTCACTTGGATTATAATCCTACCTCCACATTTTGGGGCAAGAATTTTAGGATTGCCAGCCTCATCAAAACCAGAGGTGATGAGTGGGGAGCATTTCCCCAAAAGAGATGATGTTGAATTAAAACAATTGCCATCACTATTTCCAGCCAAAAGGATGACTGGGACAATGCACATTTGTGGAGGACACATGAGGAATGTGTTATCCACTCAAGTTGATTTCCTTATAGCCTTATTTATGGATCAAATTAGGCACAGATAATATCAAGGTTAGCCAAATTAGCTTTGTTCTAAGAATGCCTGCATCAATCAGTATACTTAGTGGCTACATATATTGAACAGAAATGTAAGCCCCATGAGGGCAGGAATCTTTGGTTAACTGATGCATCACAAGTGTCCGGAACAGGGCATGGCACATAGTTGACCCTCAATAGATACTTGTTGAATAAATGCATTGAATGCACACTGCTGGCACAAATGTACATTGGTACAAGTGAACCATATCTCACACGGAGGTTAGATTCTAAAGTCCATTTTAAGGGGGAGCTGTGTGTTGTAAAAATTACCACATGATGAATATCATGGATGGGGGGGACCTGTGAACCACACTGAAATTTGCATTTTAAACTCCTATATAACTGTAACAGGATTTTTTCTCTCTGAAATTTTTTTTGAGAGCCATAAAGAGTGATTCCTTTGCATTTAGTGGCCGTGATGTATGAAAATGCATATCACTAGACATTTCATGACAGGCCTCAGGAACCCAGAAGAACTGAGCATGAGCAGGTTCGTTTGCTCCATCTAGTGCTTCCTCCAAGAAATAAACTTGCACCTGTGTGCCTTTTTGGAAGGTATCAATATTCTGAAAGATGTTCACACCATTGGACCCCATATGACAACTTGGAAATTTTCATAAAAAATGATCAGAGCTATATAGGGATGTATATTGCTGTTATTTCTAATAGCAGAATTCAGATATTAAAATGTAAAATAGTCAGGGAAAAGTTAAATAAGTACTTTTTGTATACATAATTCAATACTCTGCAGTTTTTAAAACTCTTGCTGGTTGATAGTAAAATGTTACTACACCCATTTTACCAGTGGGGAAGCTTAAAGTTAGAGAGATTCAGTTCTTGTACCTTAAAGTGTCATGTAACCTCTATGCTTATAATTGGCCTCTGGTCATTTGGTACAATTCTAATTAGTGAGTCTTCTCTGTACTGCCCCAAGGGGTCCTCTCACATGCTTGCTACTTTCAGTGGGTGCTGTGATAGGCAAAATAAAGACCCCCCCTCCAACCCAAAGATGTCCACACCATAATCTACAACCTGTAAATATGTTATTTTACATGGCCAAGGAGAATTAATGTTGTAGATGGGTTTGAGGTTGCAAATAAGATGACCTTAAATAGGGAGATTTTTCCTGGATTCTCTGGGCCCAGTGTAATCACAAGAGTGCTTAAAATGAGAGAGGGACGTAGGAGGAGAGAGGCTGAAGGATATGTGACTGGGGAAGAATGGTCAAAGGACATGGAACGCTGCTGGCTTTGAGTATGGAGGGAGAGGGCCACTAGCCGTGGAATGCAGGCAGCGCATGGAGGCTGGCAGAGGAGAGGAACCAGATTCCAGATTCGCCCTTAGAGCCTCCAGGGAGACGCTGCTCTGCTGACACTGACTTTGGTTCAGTGAGACCCATTTTGGGTTTCTGACCTCCAGAACGCTAAGCTAAACATTTGTATTGTTTCAGTCACTAAGTATGTGGTAACTGCTGAGAGCAAACAGGAAACCAATACATATGGGCAGCTTGCCGTGTCTCAAAATCACTTCCACATTTCAGATCTTACAATGTGGAGGAGTGGACTAAATATTTAGGATAGACTAAATATTATGGACCAGGATAAACCTGAAAGACAGACTTTGCAATACACTCCTGGTGTCTCACCTCAAATCTTAATGTAAAATCACATTCTGATTCATTAAAATTATGTAACAGATTCTACCACATTGTTTTGCAATATAGGCTGACAATATATGTCTTGCAGTATATGAGGGGTAATCCCAGTTTAGATTACCCCTCAAATGTGGTGGTACATAGTGCCTTGAATTCAACTTTCTTAAAATTCTTAGACACAGATCTAGTGAGTAATTAAATTTCTTTGAGTAAGTGAACAGGCTATAACTGGTGAAGTTGAAGACCTATTCAAAAGCTTATTCTTACCGAGAAGCCTGGGTTCTTGGTAAGGATTTAATAAAGAGTGTTTTCCTCTTACACGGTTTACCAGCCTTGAATTGTTAGAGAGGAAATAAAGGAGTCATCAAGTTATATGCTTATATATTAATCATTAGATTTCATACTGGTCATAGTTATTTTATTTATTACCATTTTATGCATCAAGTACAATATTCAGCAGCACACACTAGACAGTTACATATATTCTGGAACTTACAACCTACGAAAAGTAGGTTTGGTTTCTCTGTATGCCCTTTGTTTACTTGTGTGAGCCAGAAGATGCATTTCTAATTATGTTGGGATAGCACCCAAAGATGTGACTGTTGTTAAAAGATCACAAATTAAATGGCAAGAACTAAAGGCAACCCGGAGTTTTTTGAGAGCAATCTTGGAGCTTGGAGAATTCATAAACCAAGTAAACCTTCTGACATAACTATAAAATGTGGTATAAACCCTAGAAAAAAATGGCCATCTTGAAAGGGTAACAGCACTTTTATGAGAATTCCAACCGCACCATGGCAACATCAACCCGTCAAAGCAAATGAAGGGTAGTAAAAGTAAAATTAAACATGATGAAGGGGACACCAGCTTGCTAACAGCTTTCCAAGCAGTAAAGCTTTCAAATGTTATCTCTTCATTGGTCTGTTCAATCACACATGCCTGCTACCAAGCTTTATCATATTATGTATCTTTCTCATCACTGCAGCCTGCCTCGGGTTTGATGGACTTGTCTGTGTGTTCACAAAGGCGGGAAAGAGCGGGCCCCCCTTCCCCGACTGCAGCCCCTCCTGTGTGCCCTCATTCTCTTGTAATTCTTCTCTCCCACTGTCCTCTCTTGCCCTTGTTCTGGTGTCCAACATGAGTCTCTCCGGCATAGCATAGGTTGCCTTGCGGCCCTGGGCTTCGGGGACTAAATATAGATCAAAGCCCGTCCTACCCTCTGTCATCCAAAGGACAGATTCCAATGTGCGTCTGACTTTGTCCTCTCTCTCTGCCTCCAAAATATAAGCATCTTTCTTTCCTCAAGGTTCTTTTTCCTCCCAACTAATCCCATTCTCTACCCCTTCTCCAACCTCCTGCAGGGAAAATTGCGAAGGTATTTTCATGCGTTAACAGACTAGCTAATCCCCTGCTCTGAATACTGTTGCCCTGCTTGCAGAGACCCAGAAATCTCAAGGTTACATTTATTCTCTGACCTACTCAATCACCAGGGAGTCAGGACACACTCTGGTCTTTTCAGGGCTTTAAACTTCTTCCCGACTCTATTTCCCAGCTCTTAACAAATAAGGTTCCCATTCACTGTTTGTGTGGTGTTCGCACAGGCCAAATTCCTCCGCCAGAAGACCCTAGGAGTTATTCAATGGTATGGTGGCGGGAAGCGGTGAAGGGGGAGTACAAAGGAAAACAAATGACTAATCAGCCAATGTAGGCTTCCCAGAGCCCACACAGTGATGAGGAGACTCAGAAAAAAATGAGAAAGCCGAGATACCATGCTGTGGTGCTACAAATAGTCAACAGGGGATGGAAAGGGAAAGGAGAGACCAAAAAGAAAGGACAAGTTGCTGCCGCCAAGTGCCCCATGAAGGTGCCACGTTTTAGCCCGAGTTTGTTGTCTGTTCGTGTTGGTAACTGAATTGCTGTCCCTACTGTGGAACTCACCTCCTTTTTCTAAGATTAACATTAAAGTGTGTTCCCAGTTAAATCAGCTCCTTTGACTCATTCATCCATTCGACAAACACTTATTGAGTCCCAACAGCTTGCAGAATAGGACTTAGGCTGCATTTGAAGTCTGAGAAAGGGCAGCAAAGAATGTAG